GTCGCATGCTGCAAAAACGTTGCGGCGAGGTCAACTCCCTTGATGCCTCTCCGCGGCAGGTCAATCCCGGTCTAACCCTCGGAACGGTCGGAAATGGATGTTCCTAGTCATGCCGAGTCCGGTCACCCATCTCGCCATCTTTGAGGGTTACTCATAAAGCTCAGTGCGCCCAAAATCAGGGGTGCCCTGAGTTCCCTTAATTTTTGTTGCCTGGTCATACGAGACTTCCATCAAAACACGGATTTGCCCCTGGGCCTAAGTCGCAAAACTGCGGATCTCAGGCGGCGCACTGCCTGTGGCCGCCTGACAAGGGGACTGTATGCGATTTGTTTGATTGTTCTACCCCTGTTCCCACTCTCTCTACCCTCCCCGTAATCTGTGGCCACCGGGACCTCTCAAGTACCACATCAGTTCATAATGATGTCGATGGAACAGGACACCGGGGCACTGCCACGACGCAGTGCCAGGCTTGTAGTTCGTGCCCGCTCTGTGGTATCTCCCCGAACCAAGGCTCAACGACTCAGCAAGCGGAAGACTCCAGTAGCATCGAGTACAACAATGACAGTACCCGTTACCACCGGGGTTCTTCCCGCATGCCCGGTCCAAGGGGCCAGTGAGCCATTGGCGGCTTACTTTCAGCGAGTACAGGCATTCACGGATGCCGTAGCTACCGCGAAGGCACAGGAGGCAGCCGAGGCGGAACGTCAGCGGCTGGCCAGTGAGGCGGCAGCCAGGGTTGTCGAGCCCCGGACCCGGGGCCCTGGCGGGGGTCCGGGGGTCCGGGGTTGGGCACCCCTGACCCCGGCTCCGGACCGCCCCCAAAAAAAAAAATCAAAAACAATTCAAAAAACAATTCAAAAAAAAATTCAAAAAATAAAAATAAAAATACAGGGGGGTGTGCAGCGGCAGCCTGCGCCCCCTTGGCCAAACTGCAAAAATGCAGTTTTGGGCCCACCTCGGGGGCCCCCCGGGGCTACACCCATCCCTGGTGAGCCCGGGGTCACCCTGGGCGCGGGGCCGGGGCGGGGCTGAGTGGGGTGCGGGGCCGGGGATGGCTGGGAGCGGG